CAATGAAAGATCAGTTCAATCACGACAATTGAATTCATTTCTTCCCTCAAAATTCTTCCCTCAAAGATATTTTTCGGAACTTTCACGACAAAAAGAGAAACTATACAATGTACGATGGGAATGACATTATGAAACCATGAAAAAGTGAATTTAAAAAAAATGACTGAAGAATGTGGCACATAGATATGGTAAATGCAGTAAAATATCAAAAATATTATGAACAATTGAATTGATCGTTGTATTTGGCTGGAATAACCTCGAAAATCACGCCTAAAAACTGAACTTGAATAAGAGTTCGGAAGAGTCTCAATCTGAACTTGCACTGGTTTATCGTCAAAGTACAGGATCCGATCGTAACATGGTTTGTGCTCATGCTTAAATTGTGAAAATCGTCCCTTGCACGGATAGCGAAGAGTCAGAAGTAAAATTGAAGCAGATAAAATTTTTTAAGTGTTCATGGAAGGGACAGAGAAACCAGCTAAGAATTTTGCTCAGAATCGGGAAAGTGCTGTTGTCGAGGTCAAATGATAACTTCTCTCGAATAGAAGCTGGTAACAAATATGTGAGCAAAGCGAGTAAATTGGCGCATCGATATACGAATTAACGGTAAAATAATGATACATAACTGATAGTAATAATATTAATCACTCCTTAAAAAGATTATATTCATAACAGTGATCAGTTTAAATGTAGCATTCGTATGTGAGAACATTTCCTAATGTATACGGCGCATCGAAGACTCTTTGAACATCAACTTATATGTCCATCTTCGACAATAGTGCCGTTATGACTTAACGCTGAAAAACATTGCAATATCATTATCAATCACTCTCTCGTTGATTTCTTTCGTTATTCNTCACCCTCGTTGGAATCAGGAAGTTCCACCATGTCAACTTTAGTTTCTGAAATCACAATCCATCTTGAACTTTTTTTGTTGTAGGGGATTCATGAAGCTGCTCAAAGTTTTCATAAGTGGCAATGCTGATTGAACACGTTTTGATTTACATTTGATCACTCTTGATCAGTATGATATTATGTTGATTTAAGGTTCAACCGATTTCATACCCAGCGAAATGGGCGATTCCAAGGAAGCGCATATTCAGAACAAATAATTTTGATCACATTAGATGAACTCATTTATCCTTATTGATGGTTGCTCTCAAAATGTGAAAATCCTAATCACTAAACTGTCATCAATATAATAATATATAATCCTATCACTGAACTATTAATCAAATGTAATCGAAGTCGACTTCCGTGAATTGTGGATACTATCTTCAACCGATTTATACATTAGGTTCTTATTATTCACCCCATAAATTATTGAATACTCTTAATGAGTGCATCGGAAGATGTGCAGTCACAGCAGTTTGAGAACCTTTGCATCCAGTTTATGTAAACGACTACTTTCAATGCAGCCTACAGTTTGGAAGCACTTAATCAAGTCCGTGCGATTTCCGAGTGATCACTTCGGGCCAACATAAGTATGAGGCATCACCTTGATGCGAACTACACACTCAGATCCTACCAGTAATATTCAGTTTTTTCACATCATCCTTTTTAGTGCATTATGCAGACTCTGTGAACTGTATGTCCTGTCTGTGGGAAATCCTCAGTTCATAATAGACACTCAAAGGAAACACACACTGAATCATTCTTAAATTTCAGCACTCCTTCATATCCTATTCATAATCATGAACTCACCTTGTCCGAAGTGTCCAATCTGCTGATTCTCCGGTAGTTTTTGTTTATCGAGTTCGATTTGGTTTCGTTGTTCGTTCTTCTGTTTCAACTTCTCGAATAACTCTTTCTTCGATATTAAAGGCAGCTGCATGGGCTCGGCTGCACCAGCAGCGTTCCGTTCGAACGCAAGCACTGCGTTGACTGAATGGAGACGATCGAATCTGACTCGTCCATTTTCAACGTAATTCGTCCAAACATCCGTACCGGTGGCCGATGGTACCGTAGGTTCATTGGCCTGTAAACCACAGAACAGATGCAGTCATACTCAAAGTTAGTTGGCGATCAAAGATCTTGAATCCGTTTCACGACTGATCAATATGTAAGAGTTGAAAGGTTCTGCGATGAAATAATGGGATGGCATACGCCAAAAAATGCTTGCTTTCCTATTTTTAACATAACAGAGAGCTAGCCTCTTGAGATTCATTTAAGCGAAATTAATGAAAGCATGAAAATTTCGAACAATCTCATGGTAAATCAGAATNAGCACTGCGTTGACTGAATGGAGACGATCGAATCTGACTCGTCCATTTTCAACGTAATTCGTCCAAACGTCCGTACCGGTGGCCGATGGTACCGTAGGTTCATTGGCCTGTAAACCACAGAACAGAT